AGCCTACCATGGGGAACCTTATCAAACGCTTTACTGAAATCCATATACACCACATCAACCGCTTTACCCTCATCCACCTGTTTGGTCACCTTCTCAAAGAACTCAATAAGGTTGGTGAGGCACGACCTACCCTTCAGCTGAGCTGTGAACAGCAAGATCCCACAAACATCCAGGTGGCGATGACCAGACAATCTGTTTGTGTGACATTGAGAGGTAAATTTTGGTCCCGGGATAGTGGGGATAATTTCCTGCTCATCTCCAAATAGGATCTTTATATCCACTAGTGAAAGTAGAAAGGCTGTCATTTCAGTATCTCAGAAAAGATGGTACCTCCAGCATCACAGGTCTCTCTCTCTCTCTCTCTTTTCACCAACCGTCCACCCACCCACCTCAATATTGCACAGTGTGTGTTCAGGTTCAGGTGCCATTTCTATTATTGTACATACCAATATTAACAGTGTGACATGTGGTGGAGTAAATAGTCACAGTATTGAGTGTATAGTATTCAGGCAGAGGAACCTCAACAACCTGTTCCCTGATCAGCTTAATGAGCCTGAAATCTAATGGCAACTTTCAGCAAGGCCCAGAATTTTCATGGTCTGGCTGCCTTCTCAAACCTGTATCTTTTTAATGTAATATTTCCGTTGTACCAGCTGCTTAAACCTCAGGGGCTGGGCCGTGGGCTACACCAACTCTGCAAGCTGCCCTGACAGTGGGTGCTATTAACTCAATTGTACACACAGGTCCCTGAACAGCAACAGCCAACACATTCTTCCCGGTACTTACTGCAAATCATCGCTATTCCCATCCGGATCAGTTTGAACTGACATCTCATTCCTGACCAACTCTGGAACAGAAACAAAGTCACTTTATGAAGAGCTGATATGAAGTGTTAGGTACATTCATGCTTTCATAATTATGGACTCCAACATTTCAGAGTCCAATTTTCTGTCTTGTTACTGTATACTGATTAAAGTGATGGATGTCAGTACAGGGAGTAGAACATACTTTGGTTCAGCTTTGTTGTCAGTGTGAAAGACTGCAAGGTTATTTAGTTCAGCAACACTTATAACAGAAGGCACTTGATTGAAATGTTACTAAATCATAGGAGTAGCTGACAGGAGTCAGTATTGATGAGCAGTACCTCCAGTTAGGAAGAAAGACTCATGTTTTCAATCTCATTAGTCTTGTAGCAATCCTACAGTGAAAGTAAACTATTAGCTATGATGTAAAGAGAGAATTTTGGCTTTCTGGACAATTTGTAGCCAAGCAAGCTCTTCTGTGGGGTGCATTATTACACAGGAAGTATGGCCCTGTGGCCATTTACATTCGTGAGAATCAGAGGTTTTATCAGAGAAAGAGTGAGGGCAACACAGCAAGTGAGAGTAGTGTATTTATTACAAAAGCAGAAATTGCTGGAGAAACTGAGCAGGTTTGGCAGTATCTGCGGACTGAAAGCAATGTTCACAGAAGAAGGGTCACTGGACCCGAAATGTTAACTCTCCACAGATGCTACCAGACCTGCTGAGTTTCTCCAGCAATTTCTGGGTTTCCAGCATCCACAGTTCGCCAGTCAGTTTAAGAATTTGAACTCACTTTAATCACTTTTACCTTTATTCCCTGAAATGTCTGATATCAATAAAAGTGACTAGCAAATTATTCTATTTTTGTCAAAATCCAACTGACTTATTAAAGGGAGGATTTTGCTATCTTTACTCAGCCTGGCCTCCAGTCTCACACCAAACACTGGCTGATGTCTAACTTGCTGTGAAGTGCCTGAGTAGACCATTCAGTTATATCAAACTGGTTCAAAATTCAAAACGACAGCACCCCATCATCATCTTGGGGTAACTGGGAAGGGAGTAATTACAGCTAACCTTACCAGTGATGCCCACATCCTAAGAATGAATTTTAAAATGTGAATATTATAATAAATTGTTACCAACCGAATCTTGAAACTGAATGATATACTCAATAACTGAGCAGTATATTCAGCCATTTTACTGTTGAGGGGATTCCCAACAGCAGATCCGTTGTATGAGTCAAAGACACATTTCACACTTTGCAAATTGTGTTTCTTCAGGAATCTCAGTTCTGTGTCTTCTTAGCTGCCAAGTTTTGTTTTATCGTGCTCCTACGAGCATCGTGGGGCATTTTATTACACTAGAAACAGGAAAAAAATGCAGGTGATTTTTGTTACCATGACTACGTTAGCCAGATGCGCAGAGACAAGAGCATAAACTCCTCCTGAAGATCCTGCTACTGGTGCGGTCATGTCAGCTATTGATGTTGCCAGTGAACCTGTGAGAGACCGAGAGAGAGGGTCAACCTTTATGAGATAATAATGTGTTTAGACAACACTTTTAATGTAAAAAAAAAACCCAAGAAGTGTTTTTAAACAATATTTGATACTCATTAGGTCAGATGTCCATAAGGTTGGTTAAAGAGTATTTGTATATATTTATATCTATGCCTTTAAGGAGTATCTTCAAGAAGAAAAGAAAGGTCAGGAAGTTTAGGGAGGGCATTCCAGGCAAGGTTCAGGCAACTGAAGACTTGGCCACCAGTGGTGGAGTAATTAAGAGGCTCATGAGGCTAGAATTGGGTACAGGTAGCAGAGTTTGAATGGACTTAGAGGGTAAAAGATGGTAGATGGAGAGACTTGTTCAGTCTTCCTGTCCCATCCTGGAAATCTGTGCTTCTGTGTTAAGTACCAACGGCCTGTGGTGTTTGTGTGGTATGTTGGCCTTTCACACAGTCAAAGAGCCAGCTTACACCATCATCTTTGGTCCTTTTCCATTTTGTTTCCTTCCAGTTCCATCTGCTCCTCCTATTGGTACTAACATTTTCTGCGGTTCAGGGCTTTACAGGGGAGGCCTGACTGATCATTTCTCCTCTGAAGGCTGAGGGAAATGCAATTGCAGCATTTGTAGCACAGTCCTTGCTAGGATCAGCAGCACCTCGGTCTAAGATCTTGCTGCTCTGTAGACTTCAGTAAGCCTTAGAAACATGGCCATTGAAATGTATGAAATACAATATGCATTTGCACATAGCAAATTATGCTCACACTCATACATTCAAACACACGTTCACACTCATTCTAGCAAACGCACATGCTCACACACACACACATGTATTAACATCCTGATTTGACCTATTTAAATACATATATCACAGAAACGTAATTCATTTCTACTGCCACGCAAGCTGATTGAAAATCGACCAGTTCATCCCCTTCTGACAGATGCTCAAGCTTTACATGTTATTACAGAGGCTGATATTGATAAATTGATTTAAAAAAAGGAACCATTGAGACACTTGAACCCTGTTATCACCTCAGTTGCTCACAGTCAGCAATCCGCCAGTGAGAGGGTCAATAAACCAATACTGTGTGATTGTGCTGATGATACCAGCTGCCCACATGGTGAATAATTTATTTTGTGTTTGCAGCATAGAAACAGCCCATTCAACATAACTACTCATACCTGCCCAATCCTACTCCATCTCACCCCATCAGCATATCCTTCATTTCCTTATTCCCTCGTTCATTTATTTGTCTTTCTCATAAACACATCTGTACACTTCCTGCATCTCAAAAGTACTTCATTGCCTTAAGGCACATTGGGATGGTGGTCACGGTAAAGTTGTCATAGTCTCAGAGGATCACTCTCTCATCAGAGGGAGATGACTGGTGGTGGTTTAACCTAAGGGTCACCACACCTCAGGCAAGGGGAGAGGTTGAGAACAAAACTCCTTCATGTTGGCATCATACTGCATTGCAAGCTAGTTATCAGCCAACCAAGTTAGGTGCTATATAAATTTCTGGTCACTACAACCAATCCCTGAGGAAGAGAATTCCACATCCTCAACACTCTCTGGAAAAGCTATCTTCTGTTTAAAGCCCCCAACTGTTGGCTTTTTCACAAGTAGAAACAGCTCCTCATTTCCAGAGTCTATTCAGTCTTTCCTGATAGGTCAAACCTGTCGGGTGATTTGTTTATTGGGTGATGACAGCAATAACCAGTCGGTGAAATATCAGCTAACAGCAAAATGCTGCAGATGCTGGAAATCTGAAATGTAACCAGTAAATGCCAGAATCATCCAGCAGGCCACCTGTGGAGACAGGAAGACCAGGTATAACTAGAGTATAAGTATAAGCAAGTATAACTAGAGGCTGTTACAGGTGAAGATTTTCTGAGCAGTTATTGTCTCAGTCAAGCAGAGTCAATGGGTAGATTTAGGACAGGCAATGATTCAAAGACAGGAGCACTGACCATGTAAGTCAGGGAAAGGAAACAGCAGAAAAATGTCGGAAAATTGGCAAAATGGGAGGTTTTTGTTTTTGACCTGGCCATTCAGCACATGTTGCCTCTGCTGGTTCTATCAAAGAACAATCCAATTAGTTCCACTTCTCTGTACTTTCCCAAGCCTGTGCAAATTTATATTTTTCAGGTATTGGCCCATTCCCTTTTGAATGTTACTGTTAACTACATTCCAGGTCGTAGTGTCCCTCTGAGGTCACTGCACTTCCCAGATCCTGGCCTTCTCCACATCCATGATTTTAATTGTTTCACCACTGACAGCGATGCCTCAGATACCAAGCCTGAAGCTCTGGAATTGCCTCCCTAAACCTCTCGACCTCTCCCTACTTTAAAACACTTCTTAAAAGGCATCTTTCTGATAAAATAAAGAACTGCGGATGCTGCAGATCTGAAACAAAAACAAATTTCTGGAGAAACTCAGTAGCTCTGGCAGCATCTGTGGAAAAAAAGCAGAGTTAACATTTTAAGTCCAGTGACCCTTCTTCAGAACTGTAGGAGAAGGGTCTGAAGAAGGCTGACTGGACTCGAAACGTTAATTCTGTTTTCTCTTCACAGATGCTGCCAGAGCTGCTGAGTTTCTCCACCTTTTTAATTGAGCTTTTGGTCATCTGACCTAATATCTCCTTTGTGGCTCAATGCTTTGGGACGTTTTACTGTGTTAAAAGTGCTATATAAATTGAAGCTGTTGTACCCTTGAAGTCCTTTCATGTTTCATATATTTCTCCAATTTTCTATTGAAATTTATGACGGACTCTGCTTCTACTGTCTTCTTTGGCACTGCATCTTAGGTTGTAAAAACTCCCTGTGTTTAAAAAAAAGCCTCATTTCCCATCTGGCTCTTTACCAGCTATCTGAAATCTCTCCTCCAGTTTCTGACTGGCCTGCCAGGGAGCAGTTTCTTCCCAAACTGTCAAAACCCTTCTAAAATCTTATAAGCTGTTCATCTGTGACATTATCAAACCGAAACAAACATTCTCCCTTTATTTCTATCTCCTTAAATGCTATCTGGGGTGTACGGAATATTGACTGTGACTCACTAGGAGCTCTCTTGCCTTTGAACTGTGGGACCATGTGAAGGTACAATCATATCTACGCTGACTCTCCAGTGCAGTGATGAGGGAGTGCTGCAGCATCCTCAGTGCAATCTCTCAAGACAGTCACAAAATCGTTGCCCCATCGAACACTCAGATGCATTTAAATAAAGTCCCATGTCACTTTCGAAGAAGAGAGGAGGAGTTCCATCTTGTATCCTGGCCAATATTTATCCCTAAGCTAGCATTCCTACAACAGATTACTGGGTCATTTTCCATTACTGTTTGTGGGAGCCTCCTGTGCTCAAATTGGTTGCTCTGTTTTCTACAATAAGGCAATGAATACAGTTCAAAAGTATTTCACTGGTTGGTTAGGATGTCCTGAGGTCATGAGCATAGTGTGACACGTAGAGGAAAGGTGTACGATGTTGATGGGGTAAGATAAAGGGATGTGAACAGAGCACGGCACAAGTACTGACATAAATGTGTTGGACCAATGGCTTGACATTTGATTTTTTTTACTGTTTTTATTGGAAATCATATTCCACTGTTCAAATTTCATCCTGACAAAACTAAGACTCATAACCACTCAACCAAAATAAAGTGGCTGACATTCCTCTGTAGCATAACTGGTCCTAGCCAGCAATACGATGCTAGGGCTGTGACGACACTCAGACTCATTACCAACTGAATTAAGTTTTAAGATTAAAGTAAATTAACCTAAATTAAACCCTGGTCACAATTTGTACCTAAACAGCTTTGCTCCAAATTTCCACCAAGTTTTCTAACTGAGGTCAGTTATATTGTATGACTCGTTAATTTTCGGATCTTTTAAGTCAAGATAGCTCAATACCATGTAGCTAGGAAAGAAGAAAAGAATTTAAATGAATGATGTTTTGAATCAAATCAACAGCTTGGCTCCTGGTTCCTTGTTTTCTTTTCTTACAGAGGATCAGTCCCTGTTTCAAGACAGTCATGGAATTAAAGCAGAGGCAGAGTGTCAAAACCACAACAACAAAAAAATCCTGCACGTGCTCCTTGATTTAAAATTGTTTTTCTTTACCCGTTTTCTCTGAATTCATATCTTCCAAGCAGCTGTTTGCAATCACAACTTGCTTTGGCTCCTGCCTGAGTCACAGTCAGCATGCGTTCCAGAAAAAACACAAAACTCTCACAACAGCATCAAAATCAGGTTCAAAAACAAAGTTGCTGGAAAAGCTCAGCAGGTCTGGCAGCATCTGTGGAGGAGAAAACTGAGTTAATGCTTCGGGTCCGGTGACCCTTCCTCAGAACCTCAAAATCAGATTCTTATTCTTCCCTGTCTTCTGCAGGTTTTATACATTTTTGGTTCTGATCTGGGAACTAGTTACACTCTTCCACTGGTTAGACCAACCACTTCTTTCTGCCTTGAGATCGATGATCTCTCCATGCGTCAAACTGATCAGCACTCTCTTCAACAATTAAACAGATTGCTGGACAACAAGGTGCAGGGCTGGATGAACACAGCAGGCCAAGCAGCATCATAGGAGCAGAGAGGCTGACGTTTTGGGCCTAGACCCTTCATCAGAAAAGATTGCTATGTTCTCTGCCAGTTAGAGTGAGTGTCCAAACTCTGAGTTGTAAGGGACTCAGTTTTGGGGCGAGAATACCACAAGAAGGAGACTAGAAGGTGTACTAGGAGGAGACTGGGCCCTGTGCTTCACAGTCAGAAAGGACATGTACATGCACTACACTTGTTTCAACTCACAAAATAGGTGAATGAATGCACAATGTTATTGTCACATATATCCAGGAAGATACAGTGAAAAGTGTTTTGTCACCACAATCTAGCACCATTTCGAGTTACAAAAAGAATTAAAAATTCCTTAAATAGAGTTCATCTTCTCTTCAAATTGGGTCTCAGGCACAGCTCCAGGGCTTCTGCAAGGTCTCTGAAAGGTGTTCTGTGCTCAGGGAGTCACCACTCTGGGTGCAGCAATGATGATGCTGAAGCCCCAGGAGATCTCAGCTTCACTGCTGCTGCCAACACAGCCAGGAGTCCCCGCTCCGGGCCTACCACAGCCAGGAGTCCCCGCTCCGGGCCTACCACAGCCAGGAGTCCCCGCTCCGGGCCTACCGCAGCCAGGAGTCCCCGCTCCGGGCCTACCGCAGCCAGGAGTCCCCGC